GACAAATTAGCCTGTTAGTTTTGATGTTGACATTATCCAGAAGTGGGATGTCTGTATGTTTTATGTGTTCGTAGCTGTGAATTGGCAGAAAACTTGAAATTATACTAATGAGGTACAGTAACTTCTCTTAAATTATTATGTCAATGCCACTTGAAATGAATATGCATTTTGGAAACTATAGGGGAAAAATGTAAGTAGCTGGGGAACAATATATCTGTATAAAGCATATTACTGGTGATGGGACCAGCTGACCTGTAAGAAGTGGTCTCAGGGAAGAGGTGTCGTCATGGTGCAGTTCTGTCACTTCAGGCTTGCAGAAGTCCCTGTGGGGATGGAGACACTGCAGCTCACTGCTCATAAGTCTGAGGATTTTTTCCTTTTACTAAACTGTTCCCTCAAGTGGTCCTTGGTACCTGAACTTATGTCACTCAGAGGCGTATTTTAGTACATTCACTTTAGAATGTTTCTCATGTGTTTATTTTACTTATGTTTTTCTTTTCATCTTTAGGTGGGAGGTTATGCCTGAATTTCCCCAAGAGAGAAGTTCCATCAGTTTAGTCACCTTAAGCGGAGCTTTGTATGCTATCGGAGGCTTTGCAATGATTCAGCTTGAATCTAAAGAATTTGCACCCAGTGAAGTCACTGACATATGGAAGTAAGTTTAATTTTAATCACACTTGCCTGGTGGAAAGCCATATCTAAAATTGAGGTTTGTAGACACTGGAGGGTAAAATTAGTTTCCTGTTTAACTCTGGAAATGAACCATGGCACAGGTTGTAAAGCACTTGTTGACAGATAGAAAAGTTTGTCAGATAGTAACAAATAAACATGAGACTTGCATCTAATGACTGCTTCCACCTACTAATAATTCAAACAGTCTGAGTCATGGTCTTCAGATTCTTTCACTCTTTAAAAGAGTAAGTTGCCATATCTCTTGGCAGGTTTAGCCTTGTAAGTGTACCATAAAAACATTCTCTGTTTTGTGGCACCCTTAGGCAGAAAAGCCCGTATACACAGAGGCTTGTACATGTTCATGTGTTACTAGTCAAATAATTGTTTTAAGAGACTCAGAAATCGCTACGTCCTAGATTTTTTTTTTTTTTAATCTAAATCACAGTAGTATTGACGAAACATGACATCTCTGCTGTGACTTCAGTTGCTAAGGTAAATTCAGGAGTTTTGACTGGCAGAAGGATAGGAAGGATTCCAAGAAAACCCACCTTTATATGTCAAAATCTGAAGGAATTCAGAAGGGATACTTAAGGAGGAAGCTTTTATAGGAGTAATTGAAGTGTGACACAGGCCAGCAACAAGCTTTAGAGACCAGGGAAAGGACAACTCGCGCACGAAGATCTTTCTGTTCTGTTCTAGAGGACAAAAGCAGCCTTTTGTGGCATCCTGAAGCACATAGTTGCTACAAGCCTTTGCAGCCTGTGGACTGTCCTCCATTTCATGTATGTGTGATGAAGCATCAAACTCAAATTTTCAGAAGCTATGTTCTGACCGTATTTTGTTAAATGCAGGTATGATGATGAAAAGAAGGAATGGATTGGCATACTGAAAGAGATCCGATATGCTACTGGAGCCTCCTGCCTAGCCACACGCTTAAACCTCTTCAAGTTATCAAAACTGTAAACAAAATGCTGGAAAATGTGATATGGTGAGGGAGTTTCAATAGGCTCTTCTGGTTTTGTTGCATGAAAATGTCCCCAAATTGTACAGAGTTTTGTAGCAGCGTACTAGTTATACTGCTAACTGTTAAACAGTTCATCTGTCTGTCCAAGTCTTAAGATATTTACTAGCTAACCAACAACAACTGAATTTTTGCCAGTGTTTAAAATCCTGAAGAATTCTAATTAACGTTGATTAGAATAAATGAAGATTTCAGAGACAACTCCATTATTCACTCTGTAAAATTGCCAGTGAAACTACTTAGACTTCCTTACACTCAGACAATGCAGGGTATTGGTGCCTTATCCTCTGAACAATGCCCATGAATTAATTATTAAGTTAAATACAACTAGTAGGTAGCTAATTTTGTTCTAACTGGCTGTTTGTACAGCCTGATTTCCCCCTTTAGCAATATATGTAAATCCTGCATTCTTCAGCCATATCTTGAAAATATTTTCAGTAGAGCCTTCTAAAAATAATTTAGCCTGGAATTGAAGTGCATATAGAAAACAGAAGTGGCCAAAGAAGTGCCAGTCATCTCAGCCAAAACCATACTTGTAGCCAGATATGAGGAGAGAGGTTCATAAGGTTAATAACTCTACTGTTTCACATACTGTGTTTAGGCTTCTGGTAACAAGGATTTTCCACTTTTTTATGCTTTTATATTTATTTCCAAAGCAAGTATTTTTTGGAAGTTTTTCTCAGAGATCTGAGGCCATTAACAAGCATTCATGAAAAAGTCACAGAAGAATTGATCGTCAGCAAACACCTATGGCAGAGAGGACTTTTCCATCTAATAAAGAGATGATGCATTTTGATGTTGAAACTTTTAACAATTAAACTTTGTTTTTAAAACTATAGAAGTATCACTTGATGGTGTCTCTTTCAGTGATCAGCTCATGACTGTCATATTGACAGGACACAGATTTCTTAGTACAGCCTTTGCCGAAAACAGAGCACTCAGTTTTCTTAAAGTAGAGCATGCCCACCATTTTTATAGAGTATCTCTTCAGAGTATTTCTCCACTGAATAAAGAGGGTGTCATAAACATAAGTCTAATTGCAACTGATGTAGCAGCAAAACTGGAGAAGCAGCCCACCACACCTGACTGCACAGCAATTCCACCTATCGAATAACCCCTTGCATTGCCTTCCTAGGAGACAGAGGTAAACATATGGCAAAGGCACAGCCATCATAGCTCATTTCAGTATGTTACTGTACAGCAGTACTTAATCGGTGGGACATCGTTTCTGTTTTCCCCCTTAGGACCCAAATCTTCAGCTGTTCTTGGCATCTTTTCATCGGCTCCAGTTAAATCCCTGGTTTACACCAGCCCATCTGCTCTAACACTTGCTGATTTAATTTAGAAAGCATGACTGCAAAGGATCAAAAGCAGCACATTTTACTGAAATACTTATTTCAGTAAATAAGTATTTCAGTACTTATTTAAATAATTAGTTCTATTTACTGAAATTACTTGTATTACTTTTCTTAGATGCCCTTTCAGAATCCACTCATAGCAAGTTTTAATGCTCTTCCGATTGTGAATACTCGTAACTTTATCCATATGCAACTGGAAGATACCAGAAAAGCAGGGTTCAGCTCAAACACATGCCCACCCGTGTCTGATCAGTTCAGCTACAGCCCCTGCCACCTTTCGTACGCTCCAAGGGCGCTACGTGAAGGCCTCTGACTTGAGGCTCACCTTCTGAGATCCTAACCTATATTTATGATTGTCTTCTCCATTTTATACAAAACGTAACATGCGTATAGCCTCTCTGTGTGCTGTGCCTTCAAAGACATTTCCTCAAAGCACTCTTCTTCTCCATCTTGGAGCCCTTGTCCATTTGATACCATAAGCAAATAACCATCTACTAGTTTTTTCAGTCGTGCCACAAACGTGAGGGCTGCCTCAGGAGGAAAGCATCTTGCAGCTTAGATCAGTTCTGTTGGTTTTTCCTGGCTTTTCATTAGTGTCCTAATTTGTATTCAGTTAATAAAAATATTTTCTTCTGCTGAGTAGTAAAAAAATAAGTGACAGCCAGATGCATAATGGTCCATTCAAAAATGCAGTTGTTTACCTCTGCCAGGTAAACAGAATGTCTATTGCTTCTACCAGAAAAGGCAAGAAAACATATACAGTGTGTGGGTGAGAGATGGGCCCAGCTAGCAGTCATCACCAGGTAATGGCAGCTGTAGTCACAACGTGGCTGCCTCTGAAAACGGGCTGATTTCTACAAGTATGACCATTCTGCAGTTACTGCTCTACAATGAACATTCTCCTGGCTATTCCACTTTTTCCTTCTACATCTCATAGTCTTATGCCTCCCAACGCAAACCCTGGCTGAGTGTGAGCACAGGAAGCCTGGTAACTCACAGATGGTTTTGAAACACGGTAAATAAACCAGCAATGTCTTTCACCACCAGTAACCAAGGTGGTTGTCGTGCTCTGAAGACTCTTCTTGGTCTTGATTTTGGGTTTCAATTTGCAGCCTAATTTTGCTCCTTTGTACACCATTTTCCTTACTGAACAAGCAAGTTAGATGGTTTGCCTAATTTTGTTTGATTTCTATTAGCAAGGGTTAGTCTGATGCATAATGCCGTAATAACAAATTTCATGAACAATCCAGTTGCTGGTAAGTGCTTATGTCTGACATAAGCAGCATTTTCTCCTTATCTTGTATAAATCTTTCAGGTAACCCAAGTTGCATTTAACTGGTACAGGTGTTTCAAGGGTCTGGGTGGCTGCCAGACCTCTAGAACTAGTCTGTCTTTTAAGTATGTGAAGGTGTTGCAGAAGGTGCAAGCCACAGTTCTGCACATGCCACAGCACAGGGTGGGAGAAGCAGCTGTAGGTTCCTCACCACACAGCACCCTCCCCCGACACAAGCACCCACAGTACCTCTGTTCTGGAAGATGGAAACAGAATGGCTGTAATAGCAGTCCTATTCTTAGCAAATCTGCCTTTCAGTTTCTTGGTTTCACAGTACAGATACTGTTTGATCCCTATTGCTCATTCTGTCACATGCTGCAAGACAGTTTCCAGTAGATCTGCCTCCTCCTCTCACAGTCAAGAGTATTTCCAACTTCTTCTTTGGACAGTTTGATGTCTGGCTAAGCCTCTGTGCTATTTATTTAGGAAATAATAATGAAATTTTATGGCAAAACTGTCACAGGCTCCCGTACTTGAATAGCTTCCAGATAACAGGAGATTTTAAGCATCCTTATCACATCCCTAACAAATAGAGGATTACATCTCTTGACACCTGATGCCCCATGGCAAGCCTTGGTCCAGCTGACTCAGATAAAGAGATTTTTGAAACTAAGTATTCCAGGATTACAGGAAGTTTAATGGTACATAAAGAATTTGTATAAAAAGTACTTTTGACTGCCTGTCTGACATCACTGTATTCCATATAGATGCCTTCTCAAATATTCTAGCCGTTCACCTTTTGTTGACAAAACCATAGAATTCCACTCGAAGTGAGGAATCTGTAGAACAAAATTACACAAACTGGGTGTTAACACCGGTATAAGCCACATACCATCTTACAGCAAAGAAAAGTCTCTCTGATATCTGTTGTTCTTCACTTGAAAATATTACCTGTGTCCTTCTAAAAGCTAGGCTGATTCTAATATTGAAAAGATTAATTTCTCAATGCCAGATTCTTCTTCATGTAAGTACAGGTTGTTTCCAAAAAGCAGCATAGTTGCAGAGGTGTAAAGCAGATGCCCCTGCAACACAGGCTATGGCAACTCCATTACACCATCTCCCACCTTCTGAAACCCAAATTGAGAGAAAAATCCCCAGTCACTATAGTTTGTAGTGTTAATGTGCCAAACTGTAATGGTGTTTCAGTAGCATAACATTTACTCTCAGGGCAATATGGGAAAGGATGACTATCCTGCTAAAAACAAAAACAAAACCAAAACTTAAGCTTAAAGAAGGATTATAGCTATGATTAGAGTAGGTGAGTAATTACATATGCAGGAGAATCTGCATTCATAAGCACCCATTACCCAAACGTTTCTATGCCGGTGGCTGTGAATTATCTCTGGCCACTAGTCTTTCCCGTCACAGCATTATCACTGCGGCAGACAGACAGCATCCATATCCCATATGCAGCTGCCATAACTGTCTATCACTCAAGGAAGATACGTTCAATCTTTTTCTAACGTAGAATTCTTTGGTGAATTGAACTGAAATTCTCATTTCACTTTTCTTCCTTTACTCAGGCTACATCAAGATTGCTAGGTTGCCTGCAGTAAGGTAAGGACCGAGACATTTTGACTTCAGTTTTGCTGCAGCCACTTTCAGAGAAGGTGCAAGTTCTATGAAGTCCTTACACCATCTTGAGAACAGCTTGCAATTTCCCCCCTAAATACAACATTGCTCTCACCCAGTAGGTGCTTATAGCTATTAAAATTATCTCTACATGTGCTGCAAGGAAAATGTATCGATGTGCACTATTGATACAACTCAGAAAGGACACAAAACACTGCTGACAGCTCACCTGAACTACCTGGTACCCCAGCATTTCCAGGTGTCTTTTTTTCACTGCACATTCTCCTTTCAGGTGACGTGAATGTTTGCTAAAAGCTTTTGAATCAAGAAATTCCAAAGCAATTCTGCAAATAACAAAAATGTGCATTTACTTTCAGGTCCTACCTGAATAGTGAGAAGTGGCATTTCTAGTTCAGTACTGATAGTTGCAACAAGACTATTACTAGATAAACCTGAAAATTCACTGGAAAAGAAAATTAAACAACTCCCTGAAACTAGACACTTTCCTCGTATTTATCTAGAGATACTTGAACTTCACATGATTTAGACAAAGCATTTCTTCCCCGTGTCTGTTTTTGTTCGAATGGCCAAAAAGCTAACCAGCATTTTCAAGGCTTACATTTGAACAGATGGGAGGAAAGCCATGTTCCAATCTCTTGAAAGACATTTCAAGAATGTCCTGTCTGTCCTAGTGAGCTGGATCTGACTGAGATGGAGTTACTTTTCTTCACAGCAGCCTATATGGTGCTGTAATTTGAATCTGTGACCAAACCAGTGTTCTTAACACACCAATATTTTGGCTATTGCTGAAGAGTGCTTGCATAGCATCAAGGCCTTCTCCGTTTCTTGCTCTGCAAGCAGAGTATAGGCTGGCATTGGCAAGAGCTTGGGAGGGGACACAGCTGGAACCTCAACTGGCCAAAGTGATATTTGACACCGTATAACATCATACTCAGCAATAAAATAGGGAGGGAGGGGGGAAATTTTTCCAAAGTAGCCATTGCTCTGGCACTGGTCTGCTGGTGGTGAGTGACTGCATTTACATCAATTGTTTTCTTCCTCCCCACCACCTTTTTTTTTTTTACTTGTTTCTTCTCTTCATGCATTAAACTGTCTTAATTACAACCCAGGAGGGTTTTTTTCCCCTTGCTTTTGTCTTCCAGATTCTCTCCTCCATCACACTGCAGGGGAGTGAGCGAGCCACTGGGTAGGATCTTAGTTACTGGCTGGGATCAACACACCACACCTAGGAAGACTAAACCTCATAAGGCTTTGGGAAAAGCAACTGAAAAATAAATAGTCTAAGGGTTGCAACAACCATTTAGGACATAAGCATCAAAAATCTGGTCTGAACATGGAAGTTTGGAAGAGCTAATATGCATGAATTTGATATACTAACCTCTGGGCTCCTGGTGGCAGAGCCTTTCTCCCTTCATTCCTGATGTCATGTCTCAAGTGTATTCGCTCCGCATCACCTGAAGGTACATTCTGAGCGATACAGGAATGAGGCTTTTTATTTTCATCCAGAATGCACTCAAAATCTGCGAGAAAACACAGCAAACCTGTTTACTGACCAAAAAAAAAGGGAAAGAATTTGATCTGTACAGTGCTTACTTCTAGAAAAACTAAGTGATAACCGTAAGAGATCTCCAACATTATTTATATTATGCAGAATGTTTCAGAAACTGTATTTTATTCAGCAGTTTGTTTTTTGCAGCATCTTTGGGCCACATGCCCAGGGGCTTCCTAATCTTGATGACAACAGTGATATCAGAGGTCTCCATAACAATCCTTAGAGGATTAACTTCTCACCTATTACATAGTAGTATGGTGTGAGAACAGATATTCTTGCATAATGGCTCCCTCCTAAGATCTCTGTCAGCATTCCATGAACATGCTGTCGCAGTGGATTTATTCGGCTCCTGCCTACAAAGACAAAATAACGAATTCATACATCAGAACTTCCACAGCCAAAGTTTTGAAAATAGCACTTCGTGATTCTGCATTTCTGACAGCCAGCCTACTGAATTAAAGCTTTTTCACAGATCCTTGGTGTTATTCCATCATAATTCAGAGACCACGTGATCATCTTTTGGTGGAAAGTGGCAGGTGCCTATTAAGCATCCATTTCAAATCCAGACCTTCCATTCCAGGATTTTTCCCATTCACCTGCTACAAACACATTAGTTTGAGGCTTCACCTGTTGGATTTTATTCACTTTTAATCACGCTTACACACTTAAATAGGTATTTACTTATTTCTGCATCTGTCACAGGCACACCACACTGTCACTTCTCTCTCTGTTGCAGATTGTTTAATACCTTGCTCCATTAGGCATCTTCAGTCTCAGAGCTAAAGCAGCTGAGTTCAATGGATAGCAAAGCAGATCTCCCCCATGAGAATTAGTGGAGGAGATGCTGAGTTTCCATTAGCTGGATTTTTTGAACCGATTGTTATTCTGAAAGATCTCAACTGCTATACTTGATCACCAGCCTATTTCTCCATCTCATCCTCAATGGAGCTTGATTCTTCTGAGGAAGATGACAAATGTTCACCTTGAAAAATTTAAGTCAAATGTTCAGTCATGTAAGTGAAGCAGGGATCAAAGTGACCCATCTCCTCCAGTAGACAATCCTAATGATCCTCTTCCTGCCTCTCCATCATCCATACCATATACACTGTTTCTGTGTATTTAAATTTTATTTCTTATGAAGAAATATCCTATCTCTATTACATTAATTCTCACAGGGAAAACTGCTTTGCTATCTGTCACACTACTAAGCGGTTGCACTTTTCAAGAACGCATCCTTAGCAGATAGCGGGGTGCACCTTTCTGAGCTTCTATTGTCTGCTAGTGTCAACATGACAGTTTTAGAAGCATCTAGCAGTCTGTTGAAAATAGACCATTACTAGTAACAAGGGCGGCTTTTCCTCTCCTAAATTACTTACTGTTATAAAAAACACGTTGGCAGTAGCGCTCATGAAACCAAGGGACGTGAAACTCCGGGCATTCCAGACAGACTGCTCTGTTCAATTTCATGAGGCACGAGTGGACCTTCCGCTTTAGGGTATCAGGCAGGACTAAGTCAAACAAAATGAGAAGGTGTGAACTGAATTGTGAAAAATCCAACACATTGAACTAAATAACTACCTCTGAATTCTTTACTAGAGATGCAAATATCTATATACCATGGCATTTATAAAATTCTTGCTGCAGAACCTTAGAAAGGTTCTCAAAATCCCTTAGGAAAAAATTAAAAATAACTGTTTTCCTCATTATTAAGAACAACAGCAAGACAAACGAAAGTAGCAATTTAAACTTTCTTCTATCATTTAACTTTTAATTAAGTGGTCGAAGGCAAAATGGCAACAGTACATTGACAGCAAACAACGTACAGGTAGAGAAGAAGGAAACAGTCAGACAAACACAGTCTCTTATTTAGAGAGAAGAGACTGGTCAGACTTATTTCTTGCAGACAAGAATCCCACATTATTTCTTGAGCTTTATGACTATTGCTAGTAATAAATACCACACTCAGGTAATTTTATTTCCAATAAAACTAAAGAATTATTAAATACCAAGTACAAGAAGTTGACTATAAAATGTGTTTTAAATGAGCATGTCTCATCTGTAATACAAGTCTGTACTTTTATTTTAAAACACAAGTTTTTGTTCATTCCTTCCCTTTTAGCACTCAAATAATGCCTAGATAATATACAGGGGTCTTTTCAGAAAATCCAATCATTTAAAGAGTAATTCTACTTCTTAAGTCACATACAGATACACAATTCCATTTTATGCCAAATGATATATAATCAAATTCACCAGTGAGCTAGATATCTACCTTCAAGTTGAGCATCCAATTTGCTTAGGAAGGAAACATTAAATATCCTTGTTATCAGAACTGGAGGAAAATACCCAGCCACTGCCAAAACATGACCAAGCAGCACCAAGTGGTGAGTTTCAAAACAACCTTTAAAATCCAGACAGAAATCCATGTTAACACATGACAAAGTTGAAACGATTTGCAATGCCCTGCCCTCTGGCCTCCTAAATCATCCAAGTTTCTCTCTTAACATAGCAGATGAACGCACAGGCAGGTGAAGGACTACCTCTGCTAACTGCACCAAGGTATAAGGTAACTCTTGCCAGGTCTTTGCAGGAAGAAACTAGTTAGTCTTAGAAAAAGGCAACTCCACAATATTTCAGTGGAAAGCAAATTTTCAGAGTTCTGTGAGTCTGCATCATCAATCCATTAAAAAAAAAAAAAAGTCTCAACACATTTCCTCTACAACTTAGCCATTTCTTTGTGATGAATCACAAAACAACGTATCCTGTTCCCAAATCCCCAAATGATGAGTCCTTGGAGAATGCTGCAACAATGATATCCAATAACAGCACAGCAAATTAATCAGAATTTTCACTTGCTTTTTACTACACTCAAGATACCTTGCTAGTCCATTATCAACAGTAATTTTTAAAAGGTGAAATGAAGGTAGAAAACCCAGCAGAGGCATACACTGAATCCTTGTCGTGGTTTAACCCCAGTAGGCAGAGTATTAGTAGTAACATACAGACACACTTTTTTCTTTGCTTAAAAAAAATATGCCATTCTATTCCCATTTTTTTTTCAGTACAAATAACATATTCCAATGATACTCATTTATTTCATGTCAGAATATTTTTGACTAATGCACTTACTCAAATTAGAAGTAAGATGTTGGATACAATTCTCAAAGAACTCTTCATTGGCAGGAGGGTCATAATTCAGAGCAGAGAAAAGTAAGAGAATAAAATAGATTTCAAAGGGGTGGATCTGGAAAAAAAGACATCCTAAATTAGGTTGCTGCAAAATATCCTAACAATGCTTTACAATAAAAAAGGGTTTTATAATTCATCCAGAATTGTGAGATTTAAGACTAGATGAGCTCTTTTTCTAAATTTTTTTCTTCTGTTATCTTTTCCTGGATAGAAATAATAAAAAAAATAAAATGCAGTATCATTAAAAGTGCAGCTATGGCTAAAACTTAAAATCTATTTAATGTAGACGATTCAAGTGTTTCTGTATACTCAGACTTTAAGAAGCTTTTAAAAATGTTTCCCATTAAATGCTCTTAAAGAAACTAAACTGTCATAGCATAAAATCAAAGATCTAAATAAATACCAGATTGAGAAGGAGAAAAAAAAGATAGCAAGAAAACACAGTAATTTTGATGAAAAAGACAGGCTATTGGGGAAATCCCCACAAGCACAAGTAACATAAAAAATACACTGTGTGATATGACTATTTGTAAAGTTGTTAAAGAAAAATTATTTAAGATAGTCAAATGTAAAGCTGAATGCAAAGGATTATGGTTGACCTAACACTGACTGAACAATAAAATAAGAAAGGAAAATTAAAGAGAATTGCAAAATAATATACATGGAAGCAAAACAACTTTGAGTGAACACAGAAAAAGATAAGCTACAAATCAGGTACACTGAAGAAAACTCTTAGAAAGACTGTGTGGATTGTGCTCTGGAACACATTAACTGCTAATCTGTCCTTTCTTCCTGAATAACTTACACAGTAGATACAAAGAAAAAAAAACTGTAGTACCTTGTCTATATTTTCAACAGTCACAGAAGCTATTCTGTCAAGTAATGAAGGACAACGGTGGTTTGTTTTTATGAGAAAGAGAGACAACTGTAATACATTTGTCCACGTTATTTGGTCTATCAAGCGTTGACACGTGGTCATAGTTTCCTCACTGATGACTTCTTCAAACCACTCTCCATTCACATGTTTAAGTTCTTCCAACAGAAGATTTAAGTTGTTGGCTTTCTGAAGCCTCTGAAATCCACAGTCATTTAGTTTCTGCAGAAGCTTTACACATAGCTCCGAACTGTTTTGCCAGTGCAACTGGTTATAATGATTCCATTTGACAAGAGCTGTAGCAATGCAATTCAAATGACGGAGACTGCATTGAGGCAGAACCGCTGCTGCTTTGCTTATAATGATTTCCTCCACTTCAAAGGGAGGAAGCATGGCCAGAACGTGAATTATTGCAGCAATATCAGCAGGTATGACACTAGATTTTAAAAAACTGGGAGAAATAAAACCAGACCATCAGTACTGACAAAGTGCAAATGTTTAAAAACCCAAATAAATTACATGCATGAAAAAAATATAAAGTCAAAAGCTTCACATCAAGTATGAAAGAAGTAGAATTTTAATGACATGGTAGAAATTCAGTGTTAGTGACCACTTTTTTCACTGAGATTAACTTCTTCCTTCTAATTTATTCAAAAATGAAAGGGAGGAAGACAGGGAGCATCTCAGTCAGCTCGTGAGGCTCCAAGCATTACTGATAAACAGAGAAGTCCTTAGTAAGGGGCAGAAGGTCGGCCTTGGTTAATGGAGTCTGTGGATTTCTGGGCCTGGATAATTTCCGTGATTTCCGTCCTGGGGAGCACCAGGTTCTGAGGTGCCTGAGGAACATGAAGGCAACATCCACAAAAAATATGAACAACCAGGACACTGCATTCCTGTAGAGGCTGAGCGAAGGAAGCAACAGCGGCAGATCTCCTCCAATTCCAGAAATGGTTTCCCTTTCTATGCTGCAACCGTACAAGCCTGAGAACTAACTAGACAGTTCTTCAATCAAAAGAAGAGTACTTCTGCTTCAAACTTTCACGTCCCAACCACAGCATTCTTACCATATATTTTTCATTACTTGTTCCTCCAAACATCAGAGTATATTAATACCTACCCTTCCTACAAAGTACTAATCAAAATTTCCTGTTCAATGTCATTATATTGCAGTGGCCAAGTGGCAAGGGACAAAAAAAAAAAAAATATCTGTTTTTACAAGATATATCTATTAGCAGACACTAACGGATCTAGAGTCAAGACAATAGCCACTTCTTATCCTCTGATTTACGTGTTTAACAGAATCAAAAACTTTTAACAGTTTGTTACTACTTCATATTTTATAGAAACAAAACAATTTAACTTCTTAGTGTGTTGTTTAAAATATTAAGCACACAACTGTTTAATACTTAAATAGCTACATTTCCAAGAATATACACTTACCCAAATAGTAACATTTTCAGTTTGGCAAGCAGCTCCAGATTGTGGCAACGTAACACCACCAAGTACTGTGTTAACTTTACCAACTGTAATACATGATAGCTATCCAAGTGTTTGTGCAGAACAGAAGCCATTCTGCATGCAAAGAGGAAAAGATGACATGGTATTATGCTAATACAGAAGATATTACAAACCCCAACATCCCACATGAAGAAGGGGGGTCCTGTGGTGCACAGTACTTATGTGGAGGGTTACACACACCTACACTCCTCTCCACCCCAGTTTTGACAGTGCTCTACTGAGACACAGCCAGCAGCCTCTCTACACTTAGTGAATTACAAAATTAAAGTCCTCATCACAGCAAAACAGCTACTTCACTCTAATAACCAAGAATGGGATTAAACCAGAACAGCGTCACCAGCTTCAGCACCACTGGACTCACTCACATAATAGTGGTTGCTACAGCTATGTTGGTCTAAAGCTGCAAGAGGGGGCTAGATTTGTAGGGAAAGAGAATACCTTAAGACCTTCTTTAGACAGTGAGATTCAAGGCGAAAAAGCTTGAATTCACCTGGTCTTCCCTTTAACACCACTCAGCTCCACAGTGCTACTTGTCCTTTTTCTTCCAAGGATCTATACAGTTCATACAACTACATTCAATCCAGTTACTACTCACAACCTGCCTTTAACTCTGCTGCATCTGTGACATATCTGATACTACATCTTCTGTGCCCAAAACCTCAGCTGCTTTTCCCTCCTTTGTATGAAATATATTACCTCTCCCTAAAAACAACGTTCAGTTTACAACTGCAGAAAATCTGTCCCATGTTCTTGAAGAGGCAGGACGTAATAGTTTAAAGTAGGGCACAATGGCTTTTAAGAAACAATGCACATCAGTTACAGGATCTCCTACGTAGGACACATTCTCTGCAATTTACTGTATTCTCATTTGTCTCACCAGTTTACAGTAATTGTTAGAGGCCAAGTTCACTCAAATAGGATCACATATTTGTAAAGAAGCCAAAAATTATGTTACATTAACTTGGTAGGGTTGAAATGTCCTTCTGTGGAATGCCTAAATTGCCTCAATTACTCCCGGGTCAAGCTGTGATATTCTAAAATCTGTAATAGCTAATTATATATAGTGTATATGCATTTGTGTGCAAGTGACACACTCTCCAATCCCAATTTACTAGATATTATATAGTTTTCCATACTAAATGGACATAGTTTACATAGAGAATACAACTTCTTACTAGTATCAAAAAAATTACTTTTTGAGTAGGTGAGAATCTCTGCATTTCATTTTCTTCATTGTCTTCAGTATTATCAATACCTGGTGACTGCTAAATTCTTCTGCCATGAGCGCTGCAGTTACTAGCAACCTAGAGAGGAAAAGAAAAGATATATTTTCCAAGGAAAAACAGTTGCAAATCTCCAGCAAAGATTGTGGCCTTTTTCTTTGTCTAGCAGGGAAAGAATCAATAGACTACTTCAGGAAATACAGGAAAACAAATTCCCCCAAACTAGAGACCTTTGTTCTGTGGGCCCTTTTTCTAAACAGTTGACTTGTATGACACAGGTAGAGAGATGTGTGTTAGATCAGCACATATTGCTCTGTTGCTAGAAACCATCAAGTCCAACAATTCTGAAAGAAATCAATCAGCAAGCTACAGGTAACAGAATCAAACATGAGTTGAACTGGTTCTGGGACAGACAAAGCCAATGACTTTTTCTACCTCACACTGATTTTTACCAAAAATAAAATAAACTTAGGAAAAAAAAACTAGGAAAAGCTTTGGGAACTAAGTCAGCTACAGCAAAACCAACACAGGCCTGCAGTATATCCAGATCCCTGAACAAAGGCAAACGTTCATGAAGAAAAGTCTGAAAACATGACTAATTATAATTAATACAGCAAATTCTGCCTAAAACTGCAGACTTTGAGAGACCCATGACTAATACCACCCCCAAACAGAATTTTGTAGCAGAAGAAAAACAGGCAGAGAAAAATCTGCCACGTAGTAGTATGCTCTAATTGCTAAATAAATGCTGAAGTGTTCCCTGCTGACAACCTTTCATATAGAATAGGATGTACAGCAAACTGGGATAGGACAAGACTCAGGCTGTTTCAACTACTGCCAGTCTTAAAAAGGAAAAAGCAACACATACCACACCATGCATTTCGTAGGGCAAAAACAGAAAGTTTTTTTTACTAACATCCACTGTGAAAGGAAGGCCACAGTCTAAGAGACAGAGCTACAAGATGGCCTTGCATAACAGCATTCACACACCCCTTGATTACTGAACCCAGCTTTCTGTGCAACTGTTTTAAGACAAACTGCTATGACAGTGTTTCCATAATGAAATAATATGTTGCTACAAAGTTACAACTAGCCCACAGATCGGTTCAGAAATTCCTCCAAACACCTGTACATTCTTCATTTGTGTGCAAGACTACATACATATCATAAGACAAAACTGTTAATAAACTTACCTTTCTCTTACTGTGGATCCTGCCATAGGCCCAAGAGTGAAAAATAATTTTGTAAAGGTTTCAGGATGATAATAATCATCTATAGTTTCAGAGAGCAGCTGTTTAGCAACCAAGCGGAATTCAGCATTGTCAAAACCCAGCTGCTCATACAGTCCAAAAATAAAACTAATATGGTGTATATCAAGATGGGAAGCACTGTTAAGGAAAACCTTGTTGCATTTTTCTAGCAGTGGATGATATCTCAGTTTAACATTTTGAAGAAACTGTAGTATTTTTTTGGCATAGTTTGAGCGGACTTCATCATTTTCTTCCAAGAGCTGTCCAGCCTTGAGTAATAATCGATCTCGAAAACTTTGTGAGATAACATCAGATATGCTGATCATCAAAACTGACAAGATCCTAAAAAATTCAAAAGATTTTACACTTACACATTGAACAAGAAAAGCAATAAATTTTAGATTTCTTAAATAAAACGACGCAAATAAATGAATGTTAGGGTGTTGCTGGCTTCTGAGTAAAAAGGTATTTTAAATTTAATGCAGAAAAAATATATGAGCAAAACCCACCTCTCCTACTAACATTGAAATTCTGCTTTCAGTGAATTTCTGAAATGACTGGAAATTTTCAACCATTGCTTACAAATTTGTACGCGATGAAAGTGTTTGCCTAAGGCAAGACCCTGACTTGCCTGATTAACATTTGCAGAAGATCTTTCATGTTCAAGGGAAACTAAAGAAATCCAAACAATTATCAAGTGACAGATGGGAAGAAGAGTCATTGTCACTCCTAGAGAAAGAATCCCTTCCTAAGAGAATAAAACTTGCAACCACAGGGAGAGTAATTTCTGTAAAGAAATGCAGTCCCATTCAATGAGTTTCATAAACCGGCTTCTCACATCCACAAAAATAAGTGTTGGGACTGCAGGTGCTGTATAAAGCAGAAAAAAAAGGAAGAGCAGCCTTCGTTATAATAGCCCACGGAGAACAGAGGCAAGAAAACGAAGGTTGGTTTTCTTTGACTATGGCTGGGTTCTAAGTAGTTTTAATATTAGGGTAATGCACTAGACATGCTAGCAAGAGAATTGGTTAATTCAGCTTGACCAAAAAAACTCCGCCAACCTCTTAAGATACATAAAAATAACATTGCTCTAAGACTCCTTATTGCTATTCACAACAGTAAACTAAATCCATGTCATAGTAGAGAAACTATCAGTGTCAAGGAAGCAAATCATATTCTGGTGAGTCAATAGCCTCTAAATTCTCAAAAAAGTCCATGTAATATTTAGTATCAGGATAAAGCAATATCTGACATTTTTCTACTCTAAGTAGAAAATTAGTTTTAAGTGTTTAAATTGATTATAAAGAAATTCTTGGCAAAATCATTGGAAAAATGCATTCATGTAAGCAGATGTGTTCATGAAAATTAATGCATGAATACAAATCACCTCTTTCCCACAAATCCCAAACTGCAGAAAAGCAACCTCCAACTGAGAAAAATAGAAAGTGTTCAGCAAAGGCAACTCAGTAATTGTGACATACTGCTTCTCCTGCTACTCCATTTCCTTCTGACACTTACCTGATATCCTGTATAGAATCCAGTTTCATGTCCACAATATGAGCTACTTTGCCAATTACAGGACTGAAATGTCTGTGTTGCTTGTATAAACACAGTGCAAATTTAGACAGAGCTGGCAAACTAAGCCTGTCAAGACAGCAAAGAAAGACGGAGTTTTTACCTTTTATTTCTAGTGAATAACTAAAGACAAAAATCTACTTCAACAATTATATAAAAGACAAGGTTACATTCAAATTACAAAACAAGGAAACAACTAAGCATTTTCTGTTTGGTCACCTACCTTGGACTTAGCCCAAAACACTGAGGTATTTCATATTAATGTGAATATGAAGCTCTACAAAAATCAGAAGTTCTTCATTAAATCAGACCAGTGTAATATATCTATAAAGACTGCATTCTCAAGTAATGATGTGAAATAGCTAAAATGAATGTGAGAAATTTATTAACTGAATGTCATTTTGCATTCAAGCTACACTGAATTTATTTACTAGTCAAGATGCCCCAGGTGTTAAGCTGGGATTGGCAATTTTGTGATGCTGGTGCCAAGATTGACACTAGTTTCTGCCATTAACCTGAGATTAAGATTGAAAACTACAATATCCAAAAAAAAAAAACAAAAAAAAAAACCCAACAACCAACAACAACAAAACACACAAAGGGAAAGTGTTTTAATACAAAAGTTTTTTACTAAAATTGAGATGAGCAAGGTTCTAACAACCATTTACAAGATGGACATCAAGCACTAAGACAAAGCTATAAATATTAAAACCTGCATTTTACTTCAAGCACATAAATCCACACAATGTATTTAAAAATCTTAAGTGTCTTGTTGCAGTATCTGAATCTCTCAAATATCTGTGTATCAAAGTCCATCAATACTCAAAGCCTCCACATGTATAAAAATAATTTCCAAAACCTTCAAAAATACAACTGACATTTAAAATACATAATTTTTAAAACATCTCAGAAATACTCTTTGAGAACTCCATGTAGCCTCACCTGAAGCAAATCATGCTTGCAACTTACACCTTTCACGAAGCATAGTAGTACAGTACTTGCCTTTCTAATCTTTTCCATGCTTCTGTAACAAGCGCTTTGGCTAGAAAATCATGGTCTTCAACCTCGAGCCTTCAGAAGAAAGACACAATAGTTTGAACTTTGCTTCAAAAATTATAAACAAATAAGTGATACATCCTTTCATTATTTATCCTAATGTTTTACTTTTCTATTGCTTCCTTCATTTAAACAGACTATAAATATTTCTGCATTAATAACCCTAACTCCATTTACTGGGAATGCAAAACAGATCAGTTCTGCTTTGCATCTCAAAAACTGAGGCACAGGACATTAAGTTGTCTGTGTCACAGTCAGAATACAGAAGCTGGGATGGGGCAGTCATCCAGTCTCCTTATAGGATGGCTTTGTAGCTAAAATTCCGTCTCTTTTTATTATACAAAATGTAGATATCGAAATCAACATAATGCTGCCTACCTCAGAATACTATATAGGGTGTCCACTATGGCTTCATCTTCCATGTGTTCCACCTTGTTTTCTGCCAAAATGCAAAGGGTAAGAAACTGGGAGTGATTTCTTATATATTCACTTGTCCTTAAGAGACACGGCCTCTTCTTTTGCAACTGCCACAGCATGTTCAATGCAATTCCCACATGTTTTTCAGAAAGCCTGGTCTTGTTCTTTCCAACAAGGCTGAACACTTCATCTTCATGTGTGCAGCTATTTATCTGGCTCAAAAGCAGATCACTACTCAGAGTTCGGGCTTGGCAACGTCTCAGCATAAACAAGCAAACCTGCCTCAAACAAAGCATTTTGCTATCCCTCTAACTAGCTTTAAAACGTCCAGAAAGATTCTTCTTTCACTTTTCACAGTAAAGCATGTTGTTACAAAGAACAAACTCGAGTAATTGAAAAACAGAAGGTCATTTTTCTTTCATCCTGTATTGAGAAAAATTCAATTCTGAGGTACCTGTAATGAGATAGAATTATAGCAGTTAAGTACAGTTAAAACTACTAGCTAAAAACCGATGTCTCTACCTTTTAATGTTCTGATGAAGGTAAGCTTGAGAAGAACCTATGGCCTGTACCCTTCTCAGAGAAGCTCCCAACAATGAACACTGGCATGCTCACAAGCACTAAGAAAAGTTGGTTCACTTGGTAAGCTTTTAACATTTAGAAACCTGCCCTTAAAAGGCACATGTGCTATCATGCTACTACTGAGAAGGCAAAGCTGAGCTTTTTAACATGCAGGTGCTGCATGACTAAGTCAAGTGAGGCTTGCTCTCACTAGGCCACTCCATAATCCCAAACTGGGGTCTGGAAACTGCCAGAAAATACAACTATTGATTGTAAAAGGAAGCGAGATAGCAAGAGCTCCCGAGCTGGCATCCCTGGACTCGTCTGGCTCTCCCTGTGCATCCATCTCACAGTGATATCTAGTGTACCCTGTCTATAAGCCTCTCCTAGAGTTTCCTTTGCACTCTCTTCCTCTCCTCTCTTTAGTATGTGGTCTATGTCTTGTAAACACATAATGACTTTGATATATGGCTTCTAGTCAGGAAGGCTGACCACCTTTGTAACATGGCATATCGATCAGTCACAACGCATCAGCTGAAATCACCCACTGCACAAAAGAAAAGCAACCTCATTTCCCAAGTTATAGGCGAAGCTACAAGCCTTATCTATTGAAATTTGGTAAACATTAATTTGTTTTCTTAACATATCCCCCAGTTTGTACCCAGTGCTAATAACTATGTATTTGCGCTACAACCTACAAAACTGGTTCCAAGCTGTGGAACACAAACCACTGGTGGTAAACGTCACGGTACGCCGAAAAAGACCCATCAAATTCCCTTAACTCAGAGATCATGGAGAAGTCTAGAAGTCTTGCTTTGGAAGATAGAATCATTAACAAAAAAAATGATCAAGACCATACCTTCAGCAAATTTGAATTCTCTTCAATTTTAGGCATGATTCCATCAGTGCAGCATTATCAAGGTGACGGCAGCAGTGCGCACTAGGTCTACTGAGAAAGAAAAAAACTTATTTGAGCAGTCTTTGTAAGGTACTGAAATCATTCCACAAAATTGGATATAGCTGTATTTCTTTTGATGTCTGCACAATCAGCTTCAGAGAATAAAAGTCCTATGACATATTGTACTACAATGGGGCAGATACAAGGAAAGCTAAAACTAAGCAATTTTAATTTATGATGTTATAATATGAAATGTTTTCTTCCCTATGCAAAATGAAAGGATGCAAAAATAAGAGGTACAAATTTTCCAGATATTATGTATTAAGTATGTTTTATAATAAGTTTGCTTTGTAGTCCCTTTTCAGAGATTGCTTTTATTGCTTCTATTTGTTCCATACAGTAATTGCCTTCACAAAGAATTTATTCCACTTTATCACTGAATAAAGTTGTGTAACATTATTTATTCAATGTGATCTCCATAAAAATTATTTTTGGCTTTTCCCTTATTATACAGCCACATGCTTTTAGAAGTAGCTGGGACTTCTTATGAGATTTTATAAAGTGCATTAAACAAGCTAAAATACAGATCAAAGGTTGATCAAGCCACTGTTAAATCACAATCTAGTAACCTTCCACAGAGTATCAAGTACTAAATTAACCACATTTACCAGACCATTTGACAATTTTTTTACCCAGGTATTTTCCGGTTAATTAAAAATACTTTTTTTGTTCTCTTTTTCCATATAAATGAAGCAAACTAGATACAGTGACAATAATCAAAAGCAGAAGCAATTGACTGTTCCACCAAGAACTTCTAAGCAGAAGCTGCAAGACAGTTATCAGGATTATTGATCTATACAAACTACCTAATTTCAAGAAAGAAAAAAAAGCATTTCCCCTCTAATGGTGTGACAGTCAAGTACAGCTTGAAAATCAGCACAAATTTATAGCCTTTTTGTATGACCATGTCTGGAGTGAGTCCTAGCTGAACAGAGTTTTTTTCTTAATCCTGTTTTAGAGAACTAAGACAGCATGAGGCAAATACTTCTAAGAGAAAACTGACATATTTAAACTTGGGTTTAAGATTTAATGTGCTGTATTACAGGACATTCAGCAAAGGGGTTTTTATTAGTGTATTTTTGCCTTGCTTACTGTTCCTCTATTTACATATGTCCATTCGATAGAAAAAATAGTTACAATATTAATTCACATTTACTCCCCACAGTACTGGCAAGCTAAGCTGCCAGAAGGCAGGATGAAAGTAGATACCTGAAGAGAATATAAAAACTTCAGGTTCAAATAATTTCCTTGTAAGCCCAGGTAACACATCCTTCTTGCATCTCCCTGTTCTAATGACTGAGAACCAGGATCTGTATCTACAACAACCTGCAAGAAGGTTTCAAATATTTCCCTTTCTGGAAGATTTTTAGCAGATACGAGTGATTGACCACAAACTCGTATGCTATTTTTAACTGTAATTATTTTGAATATCTTATAAAAAGGAAATCAATGGGAAACGCTGGATTTCTGAAACTTACAAATGCATAGATTAAAAACAGGTAATTTTTACGTCCTTAAGGAACTATTTCTAAAGTGCTCGTCTAAGCATGCAAAATATACATTAAAAGGACAAGAAATTCTTTAGAATGACTTCCTATCAGTTGAAACACAATAAGCATTTTTTCAAGGCTGTGTTACAGCGAACCAGAAAGTCTTCCACAAAGGAGAAAACGTGACCACCCGCCACTGCACAGCTATAAACAGTATTACAGATGTAAGGAATGAAGTGTGAAGAGAGCTGCTCCTGCCGTACAGGGCGTTTTCCCCCCATCTGCCAGGGCCACCGCAGACCCCGCAGCCATGCCGCGGGCAGCACGGGGGCCCGCAGCGGCCGGTTACCTCATGTCCTGCCCTCGCCCTGCCCCGCCGGGGCTGCCTCCGCGCCGCGCCGCTGCCGGTCACCCGCGGAAAGCCCGCCTGCTCCCACGGGCGGGTCGCCTCCTCTTTTCCCGCGGGGCAAGTGCTGCGGAAGGAGCTGGGGAAGGGGCCGAGCCGCCCCACAGGCCTGAAGGCGGGGCACGCAGGGGCAAACCGCAGCCTCAGGCTCGTTTCCCGCCACGGCCCGGTGCTCCCTCGGCCACGTTTAGCCTAACGCCGGCTGCATGAAGCGCGAACGCCCCGGCAGGAAGCTCCGAGCTCGGCCCCCCGCAAACGCCCGCGCTCCGCCGCGGCCCAGCCTGCCGTCCCCGCCGCGGGAGAGGTCCCAGGCCGCGGCCGCAGTACGGCAGGAGGGCGGCGCTGCCCCGGCCGTGCCCCAGCCCGGCCTCTCCTCCCGCCCGGCGGGGAGGCGGCGGCGGCCCCTGAGGGACAGCCCGTGGGGCGCCCGGGGCGGGGCGGGGCGGGCAGGTCCCGGCTGCCGGCAGGCCCCGGCCGCGGCCCCGCCTGGGCGGCGGGTCTGCCCGCGCTGGCCGCCGCCGGGGCTGCCGCAACGACAAAGTCCGGCTCCCGCTGGGTTCGGTAAGGAAACAGGGATCGGGGTCGCCCGCGCAACGCCTGAGACCTACCTGCGTCCGCAGAACGCAACCTGAGGCGGCCTTGGCGTACTTCCTTGCGTTCAAACCACAGCGTCTGGTTCCGCCTCGGTCCTCCGTGGGCCCCGGGTCAGAGCGCTTCCCATGAGCTGAGGTGACGGGAAATGTAGGGAGAAAGGGGAAAGTCTAGCCAGTTACACCTTCCAAAGGAAATAAAAATAATAATGAAAAAATTTCCAAGGTCACCCACATTATTGAGGTCATATTCATAAAACTAACATCGAGACAACACATTCTGAGGGGGAAATAAATTCTTCCCTGTCTAGAAAAATCAGAAAGAGACTGAAGTTCAGGGAGGGTGAAGTTCAAGAGTTTGGCTTCGCTCTACTGGAATTAATGTTACTTTATTTTACATTATAATTTGTTAATGTTTTGGAAAAAAAAAAAAAAAAGGCAAAAATGTATGAGTTCTGGGCTCCAGGTCATCATTGATAATAACAAAGATATATAGCTAGAATGATAACAATCTCAGATTGTTCTAAAATGCTGTCTAAAATCACAACCAGGACTTTGGGCTAGCTGTTTTGCAACTGTCTATCAAAGGTTTGGTTTTTTTTACTTTTTGTCTGTTGATTGTATGTGTACCTCATATGTCGGATGCTTGTGAATATGGAACTCACTCGAATAAAATAGCCCGTTTTATTTATTGTAAGTCTGTAGTGTTTTAGAAAAACAGCACACAAAATTTTAACTGTAACAATTTTTCTAACTGTAAAAATGGTAACTGGAACAGCTCCTGTACCCTTCTGCTAGCAAATCCAAATCACCATAGTTACAGTCTACACAGGCATGCAAGGAACGGAGTGAGACCCAAACCCTGCCAGGTGATCTCAAAGGGTTGCACCTTCCTCCTTCAAGATTCTTAGGCCTTGTGCAAGCTCACATAAGAACTCCAAGGCATCTGATCTCCCACTTCAGAGGAAAACTATTCCACATTCAATTGAAGAGGACTTCTGTGAATCATATGTTTTTTTCATCTGTAAGATGCTGAACTTTTTACTTGTCAAGTACAATTGGATGAAACCAATTAATAAGGTCTAAACCAAATTAAAAATGCTAGATAAAATTACCTTAAGTTTTAAGTTGGACACATACGGGAAAAAAGATTTATCAAAGCACGCTGTGGTGAAGCTAGTGTTGATTTGCTGAACAGAAGTCCAGTCAACAGCTTCTTCAGGATTTCATAACTCAGAAGGGTCAATTTTAATTTTTTTTTTCCAGAAATTCAGCAGAAAATTTGTTTTCCTGCTTTCCACAGACTTCTCAAAGCTAGTCACAGGAGTTCCATTACCTCCTGTTGTGATTACTAACCGCAGTACCCACTGGTCTGAATTAAAACCCTTCAAAGGAAGTATGTACTTAGTGGTCTTAGTTAATTTTGAAAGCGCTTACAGCTTTATGCATTGTCATCAACTTTCACGTCCCTATCCTTCAGGTAAATTGAAATTAACTTTGGCGATACAGACACGTGGGGTAGGATTATCAGTAACTTTTTTGGCATACAGTTGGTCGAAACTCCCGTTTTAGTTCTTTACAAGCCCGAACGTGTGCCAGGTGCTGTTGGCGTAACCCGGAGCCCCTCCGGAGCCATTTCGTTTACCAATCCTTTGGCCATTTTCCGGGCTCTTTGCTGAGCCACCCGTCGGGGTCTCGCCAGCAGCGGAGGCCAGCACTACCCCCGCACACGCGTGGTTGGAAAGCACTCGTGTACCTGCGGAGGCGAGGCCTGACGCCGCGCAGCGCCCGGCCGCCCTCAGGCGCGGGCCCGCGGGCCGGGGCGGCCGCCACCGCGGCGGGAGGGGGCGGGGCGCTTCTGACGAGCTCGAGGAGGCGGGCGCCCCCCTCCCCCAACCGCTTCGGCTCCTTCCGAGCGGCCCCCGCCGCCTCCCCGCCGCCGGGCAGGGTTGTACCGCGGCCGGCGAGAGCCCCGCCGCCCTTCCTGGGCCGGGGTGCCGCTTCTCCCGTCTACCGCGCCTCCCGCCTCGCCGCCCCCGGGGTCGCCCCCTCTCCCGCCCTTTCCTTCCACTGACGCAGTCTGTGCCGCACCAGCTCTAACATGGCGGCGAGGCGCTGAGGAGCGCGGGGCGACGCGGGCCGCGGAGCGGGGTGAGTGCCGGCGCGGCAGCCGAGGCGCCGGCCGGGTCGCCATGCGGCTGGGCGAGGGCCGCGGCCCAGGCCGCGGCGTGGGCGCCAAGGGCTGGGGGCGGGTGGAGGTCGTAGCGCTGCGGGGCCTGAGCCTCGGTCACGGCCGGGGGGTGGGAGTTCCGGCCCCTTCCCGGCCCGCCGAGGGGAAGACCCCGGCCCGACCGCCGCTCCGGGGCGGGCGCGGGGCAATCGCCGCCGGCTTCCGGCGCACACACGCCCCCTCGCAAGGCCTGGGGGCCGAAGGCGGGCGAGCCGCGGTCGGGGCGCCCCGCGCTTCCCTGAGGGGCCGCCCTGGGCGTCCCAGGTGAGGGCGGCCCCGGGGAGGAGAGGGAGGGTGGCGGGGGTGTGAAGCGGCGAGCGGGGCCCGGAGGAGGGCGGGAGACCGCGGGGTAGGTGAAGTGGCGGCCGAGGCCTGGCGAAAACTGGCCCGGGCGGTAGGGTCCGGGGGCCTGGGTATCGCCTCTCCGTAGCACCACGGTGTGCGGGTCTGTGCCCGCTGCCAGCGCCCTGGTCGGCCTCTTGGGTGCTGCTCGGTGCCTGCTCGGGAGTTTGAATGAGCTCTTCCTCCTCCCCTAGAAGGCGAAGTAACCGGGCTGTCTGCGTGCCACATGTTCTCCTCCCCTCTGCAGGCCTCTCCCGGGGTAGTGGAGCCTAGAGGAGCGTCCATGGCTGGCAGGAGGGTCCTCTGCCTCTCTCTTTTAAGGATTTCCTAAGGCACTTCAGAGGTTTTTATGAGTAGTGAGTTTCAGGCTAGTTTTGTGTGCAGCCACAACTGAACTATAAGTACTGTGTATATATGATTGTACTTTGAGTCATTGAGGAGGCTTTGAAGGAGAGAGGCTTAGGAGAAAGAGAAGCAGTTTATTGAAACTAGACAAAATAATCTATTACAGTGCTAAACATCACCTTACAATTTAGTCACAATTAGAAAAGTATCTTCTATAATGATTATAAAGAAGTCACTTTTGCTGGTTGTTGCCTAATGTTTGACTAGTTAGGTTAATTATATTTTAGTAATCATCTGAGACCTGTTTTAAGAGGACCAGGAGACCATTTCTTTTGCACAAAGTCCGTTTTCTGAGATGTATCTTTTCTTCTGAGAGAAGATTTTGGTTTTCATGTTTTTGTTCTATATTGCCTGTAGAAGATGCTATTCTTTGGACAGGGATAAATGTTTTTAGTTTTGGTTGTTTTGTTTTTTTTTTTTTTTTTTCTTCCCTCATTTTGTTTCACTATTCCCATTTGTTAATGCATTGGGGTCCAGCGTGACTCAAGTTTTCAGGTGCTACCATGATAAAAATGTGGAAATTACGCATGATTTACGGAGTTTTTCTAAACTCACAGAGTTTGTTTTACCAGTTTTTAAAAATTACTTATAAAGACTTTGGAAAAAGTATAGTTTCCTGTGTATGAGGTAAATCTGAAGGGGAACATGTAAAGGATACCAACATCACTAATCCTCTGAGAGTACCCTTAGGGACTGTATTTCTTATTAAGACTTAACCATTTTTCCAGTCGTCTTCTGTGAAGCAGAAACTTTTTTTTTTTTTTAAGTTAGATAAGCAGTCATTAAGCTATTATCAAAAGAAGATTTCCCACCCCCCCTTAGGGTCTCAGAAAATCTGTGGAGTATGAGGGAATTAGGAGTGGAGAATATGTACTGCAATGGAGGATTTTACTGTGCTGCAGCATGATGTCTCCACTATCAGTTCACTCCTCCGTGCCATGTGTATTTAGGAGCCATCTTCCATTTGGAAGCAGAGTCAGTGAATGCCAGGGAGTAAATCTGGTCATCTTCTAGTAGAGTGAGGTTTAGGTAGGAGATGGGGAAGGGATCTAGAGCTAAAGTACTAGAGAAAGGAGGAGAACATGAGAATAAAATGTGATAGAACAGGTGGGTTTTGGTTATGGTTGGCAAATATGGGTCAGCATTAAGAACTGTCTCTAACTGTTGCATGGTCTGGCCTTATTCTCATCTTCAGTAACAGGGGCAGGAAGGGATTCCACTTCTGGAATTTAGTTTGGGGATCCTAATGGGTAAACATCTTGGAGATTACACTAGACCCTTTAAAAGCTTTTTTCCCTTTCATACAATGCTAGAACTTGCCTTTTCCTGGCATTTTATACATTTTAAAATATACCTTTGTGGTTTCAAACCTTTGCTAATCCACTTTCTGGTTATAAATAGTGGAATTGAAATGGATGCATCTCTTTGCTGCCTCTTGGGGAGCAGTGAACACCATCAAAGGCACTTGTGCACAGACCTGAGAGAAAACACCTGTATTTTTTCTCAAATCTTAACAGGGAGGGAAAAAAAAAAAAAAAAAGTACTTTATGCATAAATTAGATAATAGGGAATCATGACTAACTCTTGACAACAAAGATTTTTACTTGCAATTGACAAAAATGTGGTTAGATATTTTAACATCTTTTTCATTGTAGGTGTCTCTTTCCTTGGAAAATAAAACAAAGGGCATTCTCTGGTAGGCACCTGTATTTCTGTTTAAATAGTTTAAGAGAATGTTGCTACCTTCTCAGCTGAATGTTATGTTCTCCCAGCTGAGATGTTATAACTGGGTGTGCATTCCTTACATACTTTAGCACAAGAAGACTAAATGTTAATAATTACAAAAAAGCATACTGAAAGTGATGTAAATGAACTATGCAGTGCAGTAGTGTTAGGAGTATGTACTGCATATTTAGTCAGGACCTGTCTGAGGATGGTATTTTCTTAAATCTCCATAAGAGGATAGCAGGCTCTTGCCTCATGTCCACGGAAGACAATGGTTGATATTGCAGGATACCTCAAGATTTATTTTTTTGGGGGGGCGGGAAATACCATGTCAATAGTTCAAAAAAGACTTGCAGCGTTATTCTAGAGAAGGAGGCCTGATGGAAAGTGGTGTCAATCACTTTTTGTGTGAAAACATGTTGGAAGTCTTTTTTTGTGGTTGGCTTTTTCCCTCTATATACCATTAGAAGGGTCAGTCACATTGGAAACCTGTAATATGTGCTTTCTGATGGTGAGTAATAAGTCTTCGTGCATAAATTTCATAGACCTGTGTAGGATGCAGATGTTTTCTTCTTTTCTTATAGATGTGTTAAGTCCACATGATTGCAAAGATAGCATCTAAAACCTGAAATGTGTTCCAAGTGTAGTGCCTTATTCCTAACTGTGCTGACAACAAAAATCCTGTGCTGCTGATTAGTAAAAGTTAAAAAAATTAATTTCCTTAGTTGTCATTGCTGCTAGTTCAGAGTTTTTAGATGATGAAACACAGGGAAGATGGTTGTGTTTGGGGAAAATACCGAGGAAATGATGGAGATTGAAGGTTGGGCTGGTTGGAGTTTTTTGTTTGCACCTTCAGCATCATCCTCACACAACTGGAAGCTCTGACACAGGAATGGAACTAGGAACAAAGTTTCATGTCTCCCACTTCAAAGTCATAAATTCATTT